GGGGGGGTTATTATTTGAAGGGCTTTATTACTGATTTTCTTCCGGGGTAGGAAACATTTTTCCCGTATCTTGTTTTTCTAGATATTGTTCCTACTTGTGTATTTTTGAGATTCTAGATATGGTTCCTACTTGTGTATTTTTGAGATTCTAGATATGGTTCCTACTTGTGTATTTTTGAGATTCTAGATATGGTTCCTACTTGTGTATTTTTGAGAGCCATGTAGCTTGCCGTATGTGACCACATAGATCTAGCAGTGTTGCATGTTGTGAAGATAACACGTAGACTAGTCTATGAGGAATCTAAGCTTCTTCTTCTTCTTTCTTTTTTTTTTCCTTCCTTCCCTCCTTCCTTCCTTTTTTTCCTTCTTTCCCTCCTTCCTTCCTTTTTTTTTTTAGGACACAATCAACACTCAACGGTTTGATGTGTGTTTTAATTTTTAAATCTTTTTTCCCCAAATAATATCCACTCCGTCCTTCCTAACACATGCTGTGTTTTGTCAGCGTTAGCTGTGACCCCCCTCTGAGGCTGTCCTCGTCGCTTTTTCACGTTTTTTTTTTTTCTGTTATTTTTTTTCGTATAGTTTTTCTGTTGTTTTTTTTCGTATAGTTTTTCTGTTATTTTTTTTCGTATAGTTTTTCTGTTGTTTTTTTTTTTTCTTTTTTTTGTGGTGGCTCAATTTGGAAGAGTATTTTTCTTTCAACTGTTCTAAGTAGTTGATTTTGTACATTTGAATCGCTCTCTTGGTGTTGTGTTTATTTATTTGATTTATTTATTTAATTTGTTGTAATTTTTATCCTCCTGTGCTCATTTTCTTTTGTATGTTGAAAAAAGGAAAGACATTCTCCTTGTTGTATTGTTGTGTTTTGGTGATTGAAATTTTTTAAATTAAAAAAAAAATTCCTTCTGTCTGCATTTCTTGATGAGTCTTTATCTTTTCTATCTCTCACTCTAATATTATTGTCCTTTTTTCTTCTTTCTAATTCCTTCTGTCTGCATCTCTTGATGAGTCTTTATCTTTACTATCTCTCACTCTAACTCTAATATTATTGTCCTTTTTTCTTCTTTCTAATTCCTTCTGTCTGCATCTCTTGATGCGTCTTTATTTTTTGTATCTCTCACTCTAATATTATTGTCGTAGTTTTTCTTTTTTCCTTTTCGTGTTTTGGTCAAGATTGTATTTAATTTTGTCTCTTGCACTGTTTACTTATAGTTTTTCTTGAGTTTTGGAATCTTCTACTTCAGCTTTGTCCTGATTATTTTACTTCCAGTTCTGATATTGTCTGTATTTTGAAAAAAATCTCCAGCTCTGATATTGTCTGTATTTTGAAAAAAATCTCCAGCTCTGATATTGTCTGTATTTTGAAAAAAAATCTCCAGCTCTGATATTGTCTGTATTTGGAAAAAAAATCTCCAGCTCTGATATTGTCTGTATTTGGAAAAAAATCTCCTGCTCTGATATTGTCTGTATTTGGAAAAAAATCTCCAGCTCTGATATTGTCTGTATTTGGAAAAAAATCTCCAGCTCTGATATTGTCTGTATTTTGAAAAAAAATCTCCAGCTCTGATATTGTCTGTATTTTGAAAAAAAATTTCCAGCTCTGATATTGTCTGTATTTTGAAAAAAATATCCAGCTCTGATATTGTCTGTATTTTGAAAAAAATATCCAGCTCTGATATTGTCTGTATTTTGAAAAAAATCTCCAGCTCAGATGTTGTCTCGATTTTTTAAAAAAATCTCTAGCTCAGATGTTGTCTCGATTTAAAAAAAAAATCTCCAGCTCTGATATTGTCTGTATTTTGAAAAAAATCTCCAGCTCTGATATTGTCTGTATTTTGAAAAAAATCTCCAGCTCTGATATTGTCTGTATTTTGAAAAAAATCTCCAGCTCTGATATTGTCTGTATTTTGAAAAAAATCTCCAGCTCAGATGTTGTCTCGATTTTTAAAAAAAATCCTAAGCTCTAGTGTTGTCATGAATTTTTGTCTCTTCTTTCAGTTTTGCCATGATTTTTATCACCTGTCCTGCTTTTACCTTCATTTGGAAACAAGAGAAGAAAAAAAAAGACAACTTTCTGTTGATCATTCTTGGTGGTGATTTTTCAGCTCGGATTTTGACAGGATTATTTTATCTCCTGTTC